TGGAACGAGTACTCCAATTCGCTGACTCGAAAACAACGGGAAAACTTGGGATTCTCATGTCGGAAAATGTCAGAAAAATGCGTGAATAATGCCGCGTTTTCAAATATTCAGGACTTGTTTTCCGAACGGGTAAACACCATATGTTTTGCAGTGAAACACACGCACAAAGTAATGAAATAAACAAATACCTCAAAATATATGTAGAAATAACTGTGCTCTATACTATTGAAATGCTTTCACTCCTGCATGGAAAAAGGCATATGATCATTCCGAAGTTCATCATCATTATTCACGGAAAACGCGTCAGACGTAAAATGATTCCAAACAGTTGGTAAACGAGGAGGTTATTGAAGTTTCAATTAGAAATCATACGCAAATAACAGATGGTGTCTGACAACACTATCCATTTTTAACCTTCTCTCTTGAGACTATTTGAAGGCTGGTTAACTTTCAGACTCATCCATGGTTTCTAACTAAAATCTAGAAAACTAATCAGTCGACGCTTTCATGTTACAAAAGGAAATTTTGGGAGGAACCTCATGAAGTTTCGTAAAGTACTTTATTAAAGAGGAAACTCGGACAGGCGTAATCTTTACTCTCCCACCCCACCGCTCTACATATTTTTGACTGTCGACCACCCCTTGGTACAAACTTCTTTCTCTCCCCAGCCTTCCGCTGCCATTAAAATCAAAGATGGTGGCCATAATTTTCGTTAAGAAAATACTGAGCACTCGCTCGCCAAAATTACGCCTGGTTTGCATGCTAATGATGAGCCCACTTTTAAAAGACCAAGCTGTCTCATATTGATCATTTGCAATCATAATTTTTGACAAATTTTATTCTGTTGAACGTTATTTGACACAAAAAAACGCCGCGGAAACGAACTATTTGTCCACATTGAACACGGGTGTACGTGCTGATTATGAACAATAGAGGAGTCAAAACTTTACTTAAATGACAAGTTTATTAGACTCGATTGCGGAGTAGTCAAATAAGTCAATTATCAGCCGACCAAAACAAGTAGAAAACGGTGCGACGAAAGCCATTCTATTAACAAAGAAGTCAATAATTGCTCCATACTACCAAAACAATCAAGTAGACTATCTGTATCAATGACGAAATGCCTTATTTTCGTCAATACGTTGAAAATTATCTGCATGAAGTGTGAAGGCGCTAGTAGAATAGTAATTAGGCTCTCATAAATTGTGATAATAAAAGTAGCTCATTTTGCTCTTGACATTATATGCTATTAGCATCGCCCGATGTTTTTCCAAATTATGCTCAAAATTGTGCCACTTTTTCTTAAAGTGCGGTTTAAAAGAGGGAACAAAACAAGCTCAGATTATATAATTATTATTCATAATTAATAAAGCGTGATATCTTCCTTATCTTGAGTTACACACTTGCTCTGAGAAAACACTACTACACATTTAATATGTTCTGACATTTTGTAGCCTGTGAAAGCGGGAACTGTGACCAACGTAATCTAACTTCCGGCGTGCCCAGTCCACTGGACGACGACTGACGAAGTATTCCGGTAACATTCTTCCCTCGAATATTGCAAAATTACAAATGCTGAAGCTTGGACCAAACGTGTTTACCACTTAGAAATTACATATCAGTTACATTCTTACAACTGCACCAACGATGTCTCTCTGTTATCATAAACAACTAAATTGCTTTGATATCACAAGAAGTTGAATATCTTTTGTTCGTGAAAATGTGTTCTCTCTCCAACCAGACAGGTGGGTGTATATACCACTTGTCTGAAGCAAAAATTAGTGTGACGACAAGAAGATGAAACACCTCTCGACTTGAAGTAATTGAAATTTAGTTATCTTGAAATAGTTCCCGAGTCTGCCCCAACGGTACAGACTCGATTCATGGTTAGTCGTTAACAAACTATTTACTGGGATACCTGTGGTAGCCCAGTCATAAAAAGGCCTTTGTGGTTTTTTTTTGTTGTCTTTCTTTTTTCCTCCGTCACAAAATGGAAAAATTGCGCAATAGTACCCAGTGGTCATTGGGCCCTCAACACCATGACAACCAACTGTGATCCAATGAGGGTGAAGGTGCTCACATGCTTATCACGTGTGTTATCTTGATGATGATTGACGTTGTCATGCAAGGACAGGGCCGGGTCACTCAACAAACCATGAGATTTTTGCTTATAAAACTCTTTTGTCAGCCATTTTGTATTTGTTTTGGGGTTGTTGTTTTAGCGATGGAGGTTCAATGGTTTTGGTTTACGATTACCTGGAGCTTTATGGTGCAAACGCTCAAAATACTTATAGACTCCTCATACAGAAGTCGTATTGTTCGCGGCCAATCCACACTAAAAGATGTTTGGAACGGATTGAGTCGCGAACGCTTGAAAGCTATGAAAGCCTTGTATGCCTTGTATGCCTTGTATACCTTGCATGCCAAGTATACCAATGTCTTAGTTGAAAAACGCATACTTGTTGAAAAAAGCAAAATCTGAAATCTGAAATCAATTACCGTGAGACTGAAGAACAAAGCTCTAATGGATGCAAACTGTTTGTGAAGAAAGACGCCATGTTGGATTCCCTTGATGCCAGGGAACGTAGCAACGATAAAAGTACGAATGGTATTAATTTTAGGATCAGAAAGGTGAATGTTATGTTTGTTTTCGTTGTAGTTGTAGGGATATTCTTTTTTAATAAATTCATGATCCAAAATCCCGTGTCTTTTTGTTTATAATGTTATGTGTTATCTATCGTTTACGCAATTGTCTTGTGTGCTAATTTCTACGTAAAGTTGTTGATGTCTTCAGCAAAAGCTGTCGTGAATAGCGTCGCTGAATGTAACGTATTTGAGGAAGCTGCTCAGTTATCTGTCATTGTATGTGATAATAAGCTTAGAAATAGCAATGATGAAGCATTTTCACTAAATACAGTCTATATCTGTAGATCTCGATACGACAAATTTTTTTATTTTAATCGCCCTCGTACGCATGGTATTCGTATTCGTGATCGTGAGCCCAGCAGAATACCAAAGAAAAGAATTACACGTATTTCGAAGAAATCCAGGAAAGTGAGACGTTTACTTCGAACCTACATCAGAAAAAGCATACCAAAGTCTACCCGAATGCACCTTTTTTACAAATAAAGCTCGTGAAAAAATATATGCACATGGAATCAGATTTGAGAATAAAGGAACAACGAAATATTCCTCTTCTGCAGTCAGGAAAAAATATCCAAAGTCTAATAAATACAGGATACTGAAAATGCAGAACCAATATACACATGTAATAAAAAGTCCAAAGCCAAAGCAGTCGGGGGGGCCTAATTCAATACCAAATGTTTATAAAAATCTGAATCACAGGGTAAAACATTTTAAGTCCAATCTGTCTGGGGATATAGAAACAAACCCTGGTCCTGTTATCAATTCTACTAAAACAATTCAAGCTCCTTACAGTCAAGACAATGTGGCAATGTTTGGGTTAAATGCTGGTACACAGTGTGTAGCCATGTCATTTGCTTCCCTCATATATAACAAGAGGAATGGTATTGCATCCTAAATGGACTTGGTTAATATCATGAACATTGGTAACGAATTGTATTCTGGTCTATCTAGTCTATCCAGGGAATCCTATTTACTGCTAACAGAAGTACCTGAAATGTTAATAGTATTTAAAATTAATTATCAGCTTCAATATAGTCCAAGCTATACTGGTAATATACATGGTACTTGTGAAGTACAAGATTTTAATTATTGTGTGTCATTTGCAAATGCTATGCAGGCTTTGCTGGGAAAAAATTATAATTCCTTTCTTTTAACAATCCTTAGTACTACGGTAGGTTTTTATTGTAATGGTTATGGTAAGTTTAAGATATTTGATTATCATGGTAGAGATTCATATGGTATGTCTCATCCTAAAGGAACTTGTGTACTGTTAGAAGTTAACACCTTAAATGAGCTGATAAAATATTTTCAAGGTCTTTATCAAAATCCAAATGTTTATCAGCAGATTGGTATAAATCACTTGGTTCTGCAGGAAAACAAAATCTTTTGTCTAGCAGAGTAATTTGGTATCAATCACTCGATACTGCACAAAAACAAAGGAGAGTAGAATGATTTAACTCGCTCAATTCTGCACAAAAGCAAAAAAGAGCAGCATGGTATAAGTCATTGAATCCTAAAGAAAAAGAAAAACTTTTGTCTGGCAGAGCATAATGGTATAAAACACTGGATGTTGCAGACAAAGATAAGATCATATCACAAGTCCAAGCTAAGGGAAAGCCCATAGAAACTCAGTTAAACATGATTTAGATCATAAGATCACAGCTTTCCAAAGTAAGATTAGGGAAGGTTCATACTATATTTGTTCGGTTTGTAACAGAATACTATACAGAAAAACTGTTATCCAGTTGAAAAAACAAATGTACAACACTCAGCAAGAACTATTTACTGAGAGGTATACCCATGATTTCTTTCAGTCTTGGAATAACCTAACACTTATCGCCTGATGACTACCTTTTTTGAAATAGGTGTATGCCCTTGGCCAGACTTGAGCTCACTATTTCAGTATACTACTCCGACACCCGTAGTATCAATACTTGATCCCAAGGATCCAGTACCATTCAGGTATCTCAGTTACCCTGCTCACCGGGTCTAGTGAGATAGTCAATTCAAATGATTGTGTTACCTTTGCCTTGTCGTTAATTTAAAGCTACTCTGAGCTGAGTTTAACAGCCGTTGAAAGGAACTGAACGATAGCCTTTGGCCCGTAATGGGCTAGGGCAGCGCTCTCATTATAGCCAGATCGCGATCTAAGTGTGTTATACGAATGAAAAAATCATAAGTTACTTTGGACTAAAAAGAAGAAGGTTTTGTTGCAAATCTTGTTGGATATAAACATTATAACGGTGTTATACAAACGCTCTAAGTTTTAAATTTTTTAAATTATGCTCGTAGACAAAGGATGGTGGCCATAATGAGGTGCAGTTGACAGATGCGACTTATCATCGATTTTTTTTTTAATTCCTTGAGGTCGGGGTTTCTTGGCCAGGGATGGTCATATTCATCTCTTCTTTCAGTCGTTGTATCTCCATTGCGATTGAATCTTTGAGTCTCTCCTCCAAATTGTTGACATATTGCATCATGTCAGCCACGTGCCTGTCCCGGGGATTCTCAGATACGTCATTACAGTGTGGAAAATCTACAAATGCACGTATACTTCAAATAATTTTGCTACTCACAAATTTATCTAAATCATGCATAAATGATCACAAGCTTAAATGGGCTGCCAAAGAAGTCACTTCATGATCACAATTCTTTCAAAGAAAAAACAAAAGAATTGAGGATCAAAAATTAAACGGATTGAAAAGGATATTGATATTAAATACTTCAAAATTTACAAATCGCGGTCTTTTCAATTTCCGCTTCCTGCCACTAACAGGCAAAAAATTTAAAACCTATTTTCATAACGAAAATTGATTTTTCTTGTCACTGAAACCTACCCATTTGTTAATGAAGAAATAGGACATTCCCATCGAAAGACCTAGGATTGCTGCAAACGTCAAAATGCTCAATTCAGTCGTAAGATATAGTAAGTTAAAATTTAGACAAGGTGTTCGCTTTATTTGGGTGAAAATAAATAGTTATATCACTCAGTATCAGCCTATATATAGATGATAATCATACCTTCTGTTACTGCGTGCACCCTGGCTTGGTAACACTTGGAGTAGACTTGAAGTAAGATACCGAGAAACACCAGCCCGAGAAATACCGCCAGAAGATAAATCAACATCCACAAGGTCATTTTCGAGCCGGATGAAAAAAACCCTTCCATTTCATCGGACAGGTTTGCGCTCTGTAAAGATCAATAATACAAGAAGGGAAATATTATGATTCAGTCATTCTGTACTAGAATTTCTCGATAAAGTTGAAAGTTTCTTTCAAAAGAAATACAGAAAATTGTTGAAGAAAAACACACTCGTGTTTAGAACATAGATGTGATCTAAATGATTTGCATTTCACAATTTGTTATTCTACTCGAGTAAAATGACCTCAAGCGTTATTTTTAAAATTGTTCATCAGCTTTGGTAACTTTTCCAATAAACTTTCGGTTTATATTGACCCAAGTAAGTTGACATTTAAGTTACCGTAGACTCCCTCTAGTTTATCGACTCCCGAGTTTGAGGAAAAGGAATATTTGAAGGTGAGGCAAAATGGATTAGGTATTCTTTGAGATAATGAAATTAAACCTCTATTTCTTACCCTAACCCTTGATGAGTCTGTTGTCTGCGAGAAGTTAAGCCTTAAAAAAACTAAAGGAGTCAAGGCAAATGCACTGGTGTTCATCCTGAACGGCCGCACGTGTCAAAATTAGAGAACAGTTAGAAAAACATTTGCACTTAGAAGTACCTCAGCAGGAATAAGTTGCTCTTTTGCAGTTTCCTTAGCAACTGCGACCAAGTCTGTAGATAATTCTTTTAAATTCTTCCCGCACCTGGACAGTTCTTGTTTTCTTTTAAATCGTTGCTCCTCGGAGTAATTGGTTTCATTTGGTGACCTTGTTGCAAGTGGTGTGACGTCATGGCTTACATGCCCCAGATAATACTCCATCGGATAATCGATGTTACGTATCATTCTAATTTGTCTGCTTTGTTTCGAACCAAATTTATCCAGAAAGTACAATGCTGTGTTATGATCTAACAATACTCTTCCAATTGCTCCTTGGCTAAGATTTTTTTGCATTTCTTGAAGAGAGTCAAACTCTGTAGATTAAAAGTTTCTTGATCAAATCAGTATGGGAACGTAGGTTAATGGGTTTAAAGAGCTAAAGTCCTTTGTTGATGAAAACTAACTCCGTTCATGTTGTGCGGTTAGTATTGATTACCTGATTATTGACAGTAAAATTCACAGTGGTAGTAAAGGATGTGAGAACTTTATTGAGGTAGAAATTCCGACAGCTATGTCTTCTTAAACGTAGTCTTTACCTTAATTCTAATACCTGGCCTTTTGGTGTCCTCTAGATACTTGTGCGCTTCAAAACTGTGTGCCAAATGACCATCAATAAATTTTTAGCCGGCTTCAGGTTTTTTCTCCACATAGTTATCATTTATCAAATTTTCATTGCCTTTTTGTTTTAGCACATTCAATATATAGGCAACTAAGACAAGAATAAAGTTCTTACCTTGTTAAGAAAGTTTTAGTGTGACCACGAAGGTAATGAAATGATATTAACTAGTTGGCATTTCATCTTGCTATGATTTGTGGCATTACAGCTCATTGTTACCATAAATGAATTCTCACTTACTGATGATCTTTGCATCAAACTCTTCAGCAACTTTTTGGGTTGTAAGAAAAGGAGCTAAGACACCAACCTGATATGAAAAACACAATAATTTGCATTAATACCAACAACTATGGGGAGTTGATTTCTGCTACATGTACTTAGAACTCAGAGAGGACTGAAAAAGATACAATCATAGTGGGTTTTTTTTTCAAATTACTACTAAAGGCCAGATCTGTCTCCTTTTTGGCAACACTTAAGATGAAACTTTTTTTTCTTTATACGCACCTCTTTACCAGCAATATCTTTGCATTTTGTGCCATCAAGGGAGGCTTGCATGGCACTGATTATTAAGCCTGTGAACAATGACATCATAACTGCTCCCACCAGAACCCAGATAATGCCAAATATACGGCCAAGAAAGGACTTTGGAGTTACGTCACCGTACCTGATTTAGAAAAGGAGTAATCATAAAAAACCGCAACTCAAGTCAAAAACTTAGAAATACGTTTAATTGCAAGTGCAGTTATCTTAAACAGAATTGAAATACCCCACTGTTGTGAGGGAGAGTACGGCCCACCAAAATCCTTGAGGCGCACCAGCCGTAAACAAAGGTGAAAACTGGTCTTTGTTAACTCTGCGTTCCTGCAATCAGGAAGGAAAAGTCTACTTTTATAGCCTGCAAAAAAATGTTGGGGTGTTTTAACTGGGAGTTATCCCAAAAGAAATTGTTATTCTCAGATCACTTGGATATCGTTCATAAAAAAGAACAGGAAAAAAATGCTGCATTGATTCCATTCTATCAAGAGGTCAGATGCACATTATCATGACTAGTAAAACAAAATTCATTAAAGTTTTCCTAAAACCTCCAGGCATCTTCTCAGAATTCTGTCGTGTCCCATCGCCCAAACGTGCGGCTTATGTAAGCCTATGTGGTACTGTATGACCAACATAAATCCATGTTCTTACCAAAAGCCATACGAGTATTCCTGAAACTCCTGACAGTAACATCATACAAACCAGAATTGGCCATTGTGACGTAATAGATGCAAACAGCTGTTCCTCTGATTCTTCCTCACACTTCTTTAAGTTTGCTATTAGAGAACTGCCAAATGACACAAATGCTCGGATCAGTGTGACATTAGGCAGTCCATCATCGTCTATCTTATGGTTAGCTTGAAAGGGAAAAGTGAAATCCACTTGCTTGGTTTTCATTAGATTTGACATTTCATCTTGACTTCGCGCAAAGATGGTATCCATATTGCAAGCTGTTGGGTCGCTTGCTTGTCTACTAAAGCAAGCCATGTCCACAAACCATTTAATGGTTTGGTACATAAATCCTGGATCGAGACTTCCGCTCATGATATAAGGAGGAGTGTTCAGCAAAGCGACTTTGAACCTGCACTGCGTTTTTTGTTCAGAATTCGTAGAAAATTTTAAGTAAACCAGGAACAGAAGAATATGGAGAAGTTTCATAATTCAATTAGTCACTGCGTCTTTAAGGCTAAGACTCCAACCTGATGGGAGAAAATAATTCAACAACTTTTCGTAGTATACATAAAAATATGAGGCACTCGGAAAACTTGATAGCGTTGAGCCACACTAAAAAAAGAAACAAGAATAATCAATGGAGCAACATTGAAGAAGCTTTGTAGTTTGAAAATCTGCAGTACAATTCCCGCGTAAAACATCTGCTTGAATAATCATAGAATAATCGACTGATGATATTTAGTTATTAGAGCAGCGAGGTTTTTAAAAATCGTCACACTTTGTAATACCTGTCGTACTTTGTAAGAACCTTATTGCACTTTGTAACCAACTCTTCGCACTTTGTAACGCCCGTCCTTACAATTAAAACAGGATACTAGTGATGAAATTGGCGCTATTGACTGGTGTTTATTTTTCTCTTGTTTTCATGCTGCGCGGTATCCATCATACTTAATCACAGTATTTGCATCCGAAATAGATTAAGCCTACACGATGGCAAATTCAAATAAATATGCCAATAGAAATTGGAAAACTGAAATTTAAATCATGTTCACTTGTTGTGAAATCGGTGACATTTATTTTATGACCAGAGGCATATCACCTTGCCTAGCCTAGCAAAAAGCTTTGATCGCTTTTCTTTTCACATAGTACCTCACTGAGCTTTAATAGATTTTATAGTTTTTTAGAGAGACATTTGACCATATTAGTTTAGCCGATGACTTGTACCACACGCTGTCACCGCTCCCTGCCTGACCTGTTTCGTTCACTTAAAACCTTCAAAACAAAACTTAAGAAAAGTATAATCACTTAACAGCTATTTCCATTTATTAAAGAAGCTGGTCATGCTGCATACAGACCTCTGTATCCTCTTGTTTTGTCGTTAGTAGAGGAGGGAATTATTGCAAAACTTTCTCCAATAAGCCTATGTAAAATCTTTTAGACCTCTTTGCCACTCGATGTCTAATGCTTCTCAGTTTTTAAAGAAATACGAGTTACATTTCTTCCTCGAAAACGTACTTCACTTTCCCATAAAAATAAATGAAATTTGTATAGGTGTAATAACGACACGATTCAAACAGCATCATGGCTATTACGAGCTCGTTCGTCAAGCGAAGAGGGATGCTCTTTAATTTGAAAGATACATGGTAAAAGGAAACATTTATACAAAGTCGAACCTATAACGAGCGCTTACCCACGGGAAATGGTCAGTGCTCAAGACTGGCAATACAGAATAGGGCTTTCACAAAAAATGATTAAAACGTCACCCTATGCTATAAGTATAAAAAATCATCCAAAACTATTACTAACCTTGATTTCGGGAGATAAACATCAATCGAATTAGTTCTTGAAAGGTTATAACTAATTCTATTTGAAGTGGTTCCGCTCTAAGTGATCGTTCAATACAGGTGGAGGAGAATACAAACAGGCCGCTGGTACTCAGTAAAGGGTGACCACGAACGCTTACTAGAGGTGAAAACTACGGTTATTAAAGGAAAAAAAAAATTTTGGGACTGACAACAAAACGCTAAATACAGTGTGATCGTTTATTAAAGGCTCCACTGCAATCTAAAAGTAGCTCGCTTCTCGCTTGTGATTTACAAACTTTTATCGTGTTCTCTCAACATCCTCTCTGGGTTATTACACCGGTAAATTGATAGAAAGTAAGGTTCGTTGTTTTTAAACAATTAAAAGTATTCGTATGAACACGGCCCTGGGTAGGACAAATTTCGCATTAGAGAGGCTTTTCAAAGAGAGTTTGACACTAATTACCTTCATTAGGCAGGAAAAACCGAAAGGATCCAACAGAGTCTGGTATGTAGTTTGTTCAGCTTTTCTTTAGTAACACAATGGAAATGGCCACCAAGTGAGACCAAGGAATTAGTTTTATTTTGAGTTTTTGTTATTATGACCGTTTCAGGCTTTGGAGATTGAAAAGAATAGAACCTTTGTCGCTTACGTTCTCCATTTTTTTAAATACGCCCTAAGCCCTAAGCCCTACGAAGCCCTAAGCCCTACAAAGCGAAATGAAAGAGTCAATTATTGCGCCTAAATATGCTGTCCTTTCGTCAGAAGAATTTTGGTGTCATGTAGTAGATCCAAAAACACAGAGGTGGATCTGGGAAAGAAGTGCAAAGTTTGTGGACTCCCCCCCTCCTCCCACTGAGAGGGAAGTTCTAATTGAACTGTTATTCTGCAAAAAAAGAAAATTTTTTGCAGAATTTTCTGGTGTTGAAGTACAACATGAGACGAAAAAGATGAAAGTATGGGCCAGCAGTATCGAACATTTGTCCTTCTTTTCGTCACAGCTGGTATTCTGCGTACACCATCGTCTGACTCTTATTCGTGAGTTTCCTATGGACTTTGTTTCGCTTCTATGCGTACGGCCCCTGTCACGTCGGAACTTCTCAGCAGCTCACGTTATGGCATTGCCCATAGTCATAAACCTTTTTCTTCCTTGTGCGCTTTTAAAATTTGTTCACGTCACCCGTCAGTCACGTCGTTCCTTTAGAAAGAAAAATAGTGGATCTATACCTTTCACAGGTCTGGTTGGGGAGAGAACATGATTTTCATGATTCTAAAGCAAGCGCTGTTGAAAGAATGTAAGATATGCTAGGCAAGGCTCTGCCTTTTTTGACGTAAGGGTTTTTCACCCAAACGCATAGTCTTACAAAGATCTCACCATTCAGCAGATTTATGGCAAACATGAAGATGAGAAGAAGAGGTTATACGCGAACAGGGTTTTGGAAGTTGAACGAGGGACTTTTACACCTTTAGTCTTCACTACTACCGGAGGCATGGCGGACGAATGCAAGCGTTCCCACAGTAGATTAGCGGAACTCATATCTATTAAGAAAGGAGAGGAGTACAGCACAACGATTTCATGGATACGTTCAAAAGTGTCCTTCGCTCTACTAAGGTCCGCCTTCCTTTTCCTAAGAGGTTCACGCACCACTAGGCGTGTCCCTCTGAACATCGAACATTGTGACTTTGAGATCGAAAAAGAACAAGCAGGATTTAGAGAATAGTTTTTGTTTTTTTTTTTTTAGAATATTTTTAGATTTTTTTAATATATAAGATGGATTTTTTTTATCTTCAAATAAGATTTTCCATGATATTTCCCTTGAGCTAGGTTGAACTCGGAAGTATATAAGGATAGGATTAGGAAGGAACAGATTATAATCGATTGAATGTAATCATTAGAATGAAATAATTATGTGAAATGAGACTTATGACAGATTTTAATTTAGTCAAGTTTATACTATATTGTAGGAAAAGAATTTTAGTGAATTAAAATTTATATTGATGATACTAAGATGATAGTTTACAATGTAAGTGCACGCTACAAACCAAACTTTACAGTCTTGGCTCAACCTTTAGTTTTAATTTCTTTTGAATTGTGTCGTGAAAATAGCCGCATCAGTAAAACATACACACATATAATAGCTTCTACCACAACATTGAGATGGAAAGGTTTATGATACAGACCAGATTATAAGTCTGATAAATAAACGTACTGTACAAAGTAAAATAAAAAACTGTTTCTTGACTAGAAAATTTTCTCTGCTCTATGGGTTACAATTATATTACCACCATTTTTGAAGGTACGAGGCTCTGCAGTGCGACATGCAATCCAAGCTCCGCTATTACACAATTATTTAGCTGCAGAGTGAACTGGAAAATATAGTAGTATGTATTGGTTAGAAAAAACCCTTTAAATGATGAAATTTTCAAGTAATTTCAAGTAATCTTAAGGAGACCAACTTGTAACAACAAAAAAAGTAATTATCATCATTATTATCATCATTTATGTCACACATTTTCATATGTCCATATGTCCAAAAGCTCTTTACAGAGTGTGCCTAGTAAAATAATATTTTGAAACCCGAGAGACAGAATCTACAAGCTTATCACTAGCGTTAAAATAAAACAATCCTAATCTAAGTAATGAAATACTATAAACAACTATAAAAGATTGCCATACGCCTGTCGAAAAAGTAGAATTTGATGATTGATAAAAGAAATCCGCGATTGCTTAAATTTCGCTGAACTCTGCTCGTTGATTGGCCCAGAAAACTTGAGCCATCCTCTCAACCTATCGGATGCAAGATTACATTTGCAACTTGCTCATTCCCCTTTTTCCTTTTCTCGAAGCAGTTTGCTTGTTTTCACTTTAAGCTCTCTTTGGCATATGATAATGTAAACTGTTCTTCTGATTGGTTGCTTTAATAACTTTGATTTTGTTTTTCAACTCTCAGAAGGTAACTCTATGTACAAGGTATCGATCATGAGAGACAACACTTGATTTTGTTTGGGATACAGCCATACGGTAATTTTACAAGATTAAAACTGGCCTTCCTTGGCTCCATCGTCAAGCCAAGTGACCCACTCAGCCGGAACTTATCCCTGTTTCACTTTAGCATAACGAGGAGTATTACTACTCCCCCCTCCCCTCCGCCCCCGGATAAGTTGCTAGTCCATCGCAAGGTTAATTCTAGCATTCATCAGGCTTCCTTGACAATTCGCTAATACCCGTTTATACTCCTGGGTGGAGAGAGGCATGGGCAGAGTAAAGTGTCTCGTCCAAGCCCCAGTTAGGTCTCGAACCCAGACCTCTCGACCCAGAGTCCAATGCACTGACCATGCATCAGGCCAGAGACAGTTTAGGGGACAAAGTTTGGTGGCTTTCAAAATGTGATAAATGACATAACAATGAATTCTCCCGTGCAGAAGAACCTATAGATACAATGTTATTACTAATAATTTACAAACTCAGCTCAGAATGAGCTATAATAAGATAATAATAATAATAATAATAAGACTGACTAACTAACTAACTACTTAACTAACTAACTAACTAACTAACTAACTAACAGACTGAGCAACTGAAGGACGAGTGAATGTCTCGCTGCCTTTGAGTGCCAGCTGAATTTAAGATGATAGAATCACATCAATACCAAGATTCATACTAATTAAAATAGAACAATTTTCTTCAAAAGGTATCTGTTTTATATTTACTCTGCAGAAACCTATGGTAAATTAATTTAAGAAGCAGTTACCTTTTCTCTTCTTGCATACTGTTGGCTTAAAGTTGGTGTAGACCTCCCAAAGTTTGCCGATGATTATTAGCAAGGCGAATATTCCCAATAAAGCAAATAAAATGGATTTGGTCATTTGTGAGCCAGTGGAGAATAACCCTTCCATTTCATCGGACAAATCCGCTGTCTAAAAGGAAATAAATAATTTTCAAACTGTTGATTTCATCGGAATAAATGCCAAACAAATAGAGAAGAATGGCGCGTGGTGAAATATAGAAAATTCACAAAAAACAATTAACTACCTGTAATTCGGCAGGGATAAGTTGCTCTTTAGCAATGTCTTCTGCAACTGCAACCAAATCCGCTGATAATTCTTTCAGGCTTTCCCCGCAAACCGAAAGCTCAGTTTTTCTAACCAATACTTCGTCATCAGAATCGTTCGTGCCATTCGGTGACCCCATTAGAGGTGGTATTACGTCATGACTCACGTGAGCCAGGTAATATTCCATTGGATAATCGACGTTACGAATCATTCGGATCTGCCTGTTTCGTTTTAAACCAGATTTATCCAAAAAGTGAAATGCAGTGTTGCGATCCATCAATACTCTTCCAATTGTTCCTTGGATAAGACTTTCTTGCATTTCGTCCAGGTTTTTGAACTCTGTTGGTTAAAAATTTATTTGATTAGTTCGCCAACGCAAATTCTTACATGAATAAAATGAGAAAAAGCGGCGGAGAAATTTCTCCTCAGAGTTTTGATACAAAAATATACGAAATATGACTGAAATTAAAAGGTAATTTTTAAGCTTATTTCTTTACTTTCCCAGTCGTCCCTGAGGAACAATGGTCATGCACTGAGTGGTAGGAAAAGCGCACGTGTCACTTCCAGTGAAGTAATTGAATAGCTCGAATGATTGAGATAATATAAAGCTGGTGTAATTAGTTTCAAACGTAAATGTATTTCATTTAAATTATTTGATAAGAGTAGAAGCATCAAGAAAATAAAAACACTAGAATCATTGAAGAAGAAACAAAAAAATTCAGACGGTAAAAATAAGTAAATGAATGCACATTTCATAGTGCGATATGATTTTCTTAGATTTAGCCAGTAAAATTCCCAGGATTGATTTTAGCAAAAGATACAAAATTTCCAATTTGACCTTGGAGATAACTCAATGCACAGAACAAAATATATACAAATACAAGGACATTAAAATAAATCTGAAAAGAACTACTTACTCACAAAGTCTGCATCCAGCTCCATAGCGACTATATGCGTTTCAGGATTCTTGTTGGACACACCCACCTAACAAGTAAATTGGGGTCAGACAAATTTTTATGCGCCAGTTGGGCCCTTATAGATTGCGCAAGCATAATTTTTGACCTAAATTGTAAAAACAAGCATAATTTTCCTTCCATTTATGAAGGTAGCACTGCAAGCCTAATGAGCATATTTTTTCTTATTTTGAAGGAAACGTTACCAGAGTCATGGCTTGTTTGGTCTCCAAGATCGATTATTTTCAAATTCAGTCCATGGTTCATGTCTATTTTCAGGTTTTCAATGTCTTGGAAGAAGAGGGTTAACGAAGTATTGAATCGTTCGTTGTCTAGAGGACTAGGCACACCCGTAGTAAAGATTGCATCGTTTATAGTTACCGTTTTCACAGGCAAGTAATGGTATCAAAGAGAAACTTACATTTTGACTTGTCAAGTCACTGCTTCTCGTCAGGAATCCAATGGTTAATTATGTTTTAGTCAGAGTATGTTTCTCAAATGAAGAATTTAATTGATAACAAATATATAATTTGGACTTCTTTTTTCCTTTTTTTTTTTTTTTTAAACACACTTAAATAAAAAGTAGCAAAATTTCAAAAACGAGCATGATCTTGAGCATTATTTGAAGAATGATCGAGCAATACCACTAGCATAATATGCTACTTTTACTAGCACAATCTATAAAGACTTAGTGCCAGATGATAAGTACTTTCCTCTTGCAAATAATATGAAGAGTCTGTACAACGAAAGTACACTTAAGTTGTAGTTCCGGAAAGACCCAGCTTAAATGATAGTAACACGAGAATCAAAGAAATGATCACCAATTAAAGAACCTCTTGATTGTTAAAAAAAATTCTTTATTTCAGCACCTCAAGAAATTTATACAGAAAATTATAGAGAAGAGGCATAATGATGTTAGGATGCAAAGGGTTTTAGGTATTCATGTTAGGGTTACTAACCTTTTTGCCACCGATGTCCCTACATCCAGTACCATCCAGGGAAGTTTCCATAGCATTTGTAAATAAGGCAGTGAACAGTGACAACGTTATTGCTCCTATCAGGATCCACATTATACCAAATGCACGTCCACAGAGGGTTTTAGGCGTCTTATCACCGTACCTAATGAGAAAAAGGAACCAAATATCTTCGCGCTTTGAGGATAGTGTAGTACGTATATAAAGAGGGTTGTCCAATACACCCAAACCGCTACTATTCGTCGAAGGCAGTTTGCGAATCGTTCTACTGGTTAATTCATCTCGTTATACCGGAAATCTGATAAATCATCTCTCGTTGGATGGAAACGCATACTGGAATTCGATTTGCAAATCACTTAGGAAATATTTTGCTAAGGGTTGTTGGAAATGTTTTCGACTCGTCTCAGTTAAAGTCGACCCGTCATACCAGAAGTCGATTTGCAAGACACCTAGAAAATATTCCGCAAGTGGCCAAGAAAGGGGGTTGCAGACTTTTTAGAATCGCACAACTCGTCACAATTGATGTCGAACGTCATACTTCCAGGGTGTAGATTCGTCAACGACCGTTGACGAATCGTAGCTGTTTTACGCTTTAAGAACGTGGAAGGTTCACGTTGTCATTTTCTCTTTTCATCCTACTCATTTTCACACATTGCTCACGCCCCTCGACTTTCGGTATGTTGAAGCACGATTCCTCTTACGATATAATATACGACTTATTTTTCAAATGTTTTTGTAGATTCGTCAACGACCGTGGACGAATCGTCGCTGTTTCACACTTTAAGAACGTGAAAGGTTCACGTTGTCATTTTTTCTTTTCATCCTACTCATTTTCACACATCGCTCACGCCCCTCGACTTTTATACTATTCATTTTCAAAAATTACTTACCAACCTCCACTTCCGGTATGTTAACGAACGATTCGACTTCCGTTGTGTTGATTCGTCAATGACCGTAGACGAATCGTAGCGGTTCGGGTGTATTGGACATGTATGTTTTAAAAAAATAATAAATAGATAAAAAACTGAAATATGGTTTTAAGATGTGTAATGGAAAATTTAGGCCTCACGGAAAGATACCCCACCCATGGAAACCGTAACCCCATCTGAAATCTCAGACACGCGTAGATTACATTACTTTGTAACACTGCCTGATAAAAGGAACGCGGGCTCATGCCGAGGGTTGTTTACATCAAAGTTGCAGATTTGTGTTAATTAATTGCCGGCCGACTCGCTGACGTGAACTCCTGATGGCTCGTAAAAGACCTCACGGCAGCCAGTTTTCTAGTAAAAATCAGCCACCAGCCAAAAAGAAGCAGAGAAAACATGAATATTATTGTGAAAAAGTTGAAAAAAAAGCGTTGCGGTGCAAGTTTGCAGCTTTTTAAGTGAAGAAAAAATCGATCGACTCAAGAGAGAGTGCAAGAGTTTAAGGTCTGAAAACGCCAATCTAAGAGGAACATTCAAAACCCTACGACGCAGTATAGGTAAGTGATATTATTTCAGATGGGAATGGAAATGCAAGGACTTGCAAATGTCTAAGAATAATACTGCAGATTGCCTGAGCCACGAACTACGGTGAATGATTTTCATTCCCATTCTGAATTTTCGGCGGTTGCAACTTACGCGATCGCTAATAAAACTACTTTGAGAGGATTTTAATAATAAACCGATAATACTCCCACCGAACAGAAGCTGAAAAAAAACTTCTCGAAAATAAAGGCAAAGTAGTCGATATGGCTGCATGGTCAGTATTTTCAGGCTTTTTCTTGCTTAACTATTTGGAGCGGCGATTAACGCAAGGGAGGCAGTACGCGCACTCAAAAGCGAAAAAATTAAACTGCGGACTAGATTCCCTCTAAAGGTTCGTACCTAAGAAAAGAAATGTACAGGCAAGTTAATTTTTTCGGTCAGCAGATCATAAGGACGCGTATCTTTAAGTGTCACACAGTATCGAGAGTTTTACGAGTGAAGTTTGAGGCTTGTGTTAGAAGTTTTTATCAACATGAATAAAAATTATCTGCGTACGGACCAACGTGGAAACACAATAGTTTCAATTATTCAACCTTTCAATTGTGGTAACAATGTTTTTACCAAAGTTAAACAACACTTTCTAAATATACCTGGTCGATAAGATTTCTGGTAGGAAATTTTTACTTTGTATTCTATGTTTCAATACTCTATCATATGAAATCAGTTACATTTAACTAATTTTTGTGTCACCTTTTCATAATTTCAGTATTTGTAAAAGGAAGGAACATCCTATTGAGGCCTCAAACTCAACTTAAAAAGCGTAAAAAAAATCTGACCTCTACTGAAAAAAGGAAAAACAAGTCAGACACAAGCTAAGGGGGACAAGATCTGCTTCCTCAAACTTAAAACAGAAATTACAGGGCAACAGTGAAATTGCCAAAAAGGGGTATTCCCTTGTGGAGACATTTGCTCATGGTCACAATGGACACAACCAAAGAACCTTAATGTTTAAGGCTTGTGTCAGATACATGCAACATGCATCTTTGTTATCATATCAAAAGAAACCTGTAGCATTTCATCTGATTTTCAATATTTTGTTCAATTGTAGCCCCCCAACAAACTTCATTGTCTCCCCAACTACACTTTCTGACTGGAATGTTCTCTTAGGTGAAGCTTACAAACTAATTTTACGCAAGCACTTTTCAAATTCCAAGTATGATTTTCATCTCTGGAGCGATGACTCCCACAAAGGAGGAGAGGAAAGGCACGTAGTAGGTGTTCACAGCTGGTGTCCCTTAGAGAGGAAGCCACGAGTTTATGTCCTTGCAAACAGCCTAACAGCAAGCAGGTCTGGAAAACACCAGTCTGATGTAGATTACCATGTTGTAAAAGATGAATATGATATTACCAATGTTTCAGGGTTGGTTGGGGACAATACCTCTACCCAAAAGGGAAAAGTAAACGGTCTCTTAGCCAACGATGTCAGAATTTTTGGAAAAGAGATGTTTTTTGTAGGATGCTACCCACATGTACTAAACAATATGCTGAGAAGAATGTGCCAGGCCGGGTTTGGGGCCAAGGGTGACATGAGCAACCCTCATGTTTTACAAATACTCTATAAAATATCTTGGCTCCATCATGAGCGTCCAAGCCAACACAAAGTTATGTATGTTTCTCTCCGTATTCTAAGTAAAGAGCCACCCCTTCCCCAGACATTCATACACATAAGGTGGACATATGATGAAACTCTTCAGTGGTATCTTAAGTATGGAAAAGCTTGTTTACAGCTCGCTGAGTGTCTCCTTGAAAGATTGCCAAAATCAGATAGCCACCAGACTATTTGGCAAGATGTTATTAAGCTGAGCTCTAGTCCCATGATTCAAGTTGAAATCAAATTTTGTTTGAATTCCTCGATAAGTTTATCATCCCATCTCTGAATACATCCCAAGCTAGTGATGCAGAACTTGGATTCTCTTGTGGTTACCTAGCAAGGTTATGGCCAGCAACTGTTCTTAAGCACCATGAAACTTTAAGTAAAATGTTGATGTCTCCTGCAGAATATTTTCCTTTAACATCACAACAGGTGAAGATGTCATTGAAGGACCCAGCAGCTATTAACCATTTTCATAAACAAGTGCAGGGGCCAATGTTACAAGAAGCAATTAAAGTAATCAAAGATCATGGAGCAGAGTTGTTAACTTTTCCCAAGTTGTTTGGAATGGGAGCTGATCAGAGATACCAAAGTCCTTTCTGGCATTCGGTTTTAAAGCTTCTTGAAATTCCAGATCAGATCAGATCAGATCTGAAAATCAACAAGAAAAGTCAGTGAACAATCTCTTTCATGTACATGGACAGAATATTCTCACATTGGTGTCTAAGGATAGAGTTGGATTGATTAAATGGGCCACTCTTTGGAAATTGATGGAACCACAATTTCTCAGTAAGGTCAAAGAAATTGCTTCATCACCACACAGCTCACTCTTAAGTAAAGAAGCCACTCCAAACCTGTTTGAGTTCTATGCCAAGCACATTTTCAGTCTTCCAGTTAACAATGTTCTTGCTGAAAGACAGTTCAACCTTTCTCAACTGTATCTTAATGGTAACATGTCAGAGTTATCAAAACAGGCCTCAATCACATTTTTTGAAAATATTCTGCATAGTGGAAAACCCAACACCAGGACCACAGAAGCGGCACGTGAAGTTCACGAAGAAAGAATGAAAGAATAAACCCAAATGCTCACCACAGACGTTTTGCAAGAGGCAAGAAAGAACTTAAACAAGATTAGAGAAAACTGCACACATGGGCCACTTACTGCAAAGGATGTTTACCCTAGAGCTTGGGTAGAGAAGAAAGTAAACAATAACTTACCAGAAACAATTCAGTCACTAAAAGCAGATGGTCGCAAACTTAAACTTCAATGGAAGGCTTCTGCCAAGGGAACATCTACACTGGAGGGACAGAGGTCATTCAACCCAAAAGTAATTAAGAAAGTTACCTGTACACCTGATGCACAAGTTCCAACACTCATGCAGCTAGCAGCACTAAAAGTGTGAAACTATGGGCTGCCAATTTATGATCTACCAAGAGAATGCCAGTTGTGTCTACAAAATCTTCCAAATGTCTTCCAGCCTCCAACTACTCATCTTTCCACATCCCACATGTCTGAACATGTTACACTGTTGCCTGCACATGAAGAATAGAGTAATCATGAGGGGTGGCTCAGTAATATTTTAACGTTTTAGATTTGTACATATAAGAATTGATTTCACCGACCACACTGCATGAAATAAATATGTCTCAGCATGTATACACACAGAGACACATCTAATAATTGATTAATGTTTCAACACAACATGTTAGAATTAACCTGGTAAAAGCATGTTGTATATACCATGTTAGTAAAGTGAACATAGCTTAATATCTTAGTATATGTACATGTAGCATGTTAGCTTTTTGGTTTACAATATTGCAACTGGTTTGACAGGGTAAAAGTAAAGTGCACGGTGCCAAAGTTGAGACATGCATGTACAATCATGTTGTATTGGATCTTGAATTAAATGAATTGAATATTACATTCAAAATGAACAGTCGGTATACGAAGCTTAATGTATCTGATTTTAAAT